CCCCCCCTTAGACAAAACAGTAGTACACAAAATGGTAGCTAATAATTAAAAGGACATGGCATCCTCAAGGTTAAAGATACAGAATGTAGTTACATGTACAAATACAAACGCTGGACATGTTTCATTCATGCAATTTTCTGTGTCATGAGACCACTCACCACAAAATAGATTGGAAATGTTTTACTAAATTCTATCTCATAAACAATTTTCATGTCCTGAGACTAATTAAAAATTATAAAGAATAAACTATACTTCATCACAATTTGTAGTACATTAAGAGTTCTGTTAAGGCAAATATCACACAAAATCTTACTCCTCCCAAGAAATCTGTTAGGAACAGAACTAGATTAATTTAAGAAGATCACAAAATATAAGATTTATTCCAATTACCCAACAATACTCACCTTTGCTATCAACTGAAAAAGTACTTGGATTTCAAAACTTCAGTCAGATCAAAGTCCCCTTTCGGGGGGACTGCAGAGAAGAGTCTCCTGAGCCGTCGCTCTTCAACTTCTTTGATAGAATAAGCTTCATTGTCATCACCTTCATAGTCATAGCTGTTCATTAAAGATGATTCAAATTATGTCAGTGGACATCTTAAGTTAATTTTTAATTGACATTATGAAATTTCAAGTATATGCCTGCTTACCCCTCTTCTGAACAATATTTCTGCATCAAGAATTCTGATAGATCCCCCATAATATTCTTTGAATGTAAAGCTACAAATTGTTCTCGACAAATCTTTAAAGGAAAAAGCAAGCACAATGTCAGTTCTGGATCTTCACTTTGGTACAGTATACGTTAATGTTAATAAGCATGAATTACCTTACTCATGGCAGCCACATTCTTAGGATGTACCCAATAACAATCATGAACAGAAATGAAAGGAATTTTTGCCTGCTCACAGTACAAACTTGTTAGCATCATGTGGCAAGAATCCAAGGAGTGAATAAAGTTTGGTGAAAATGCATTGCGATTTTTTTGGTTAATGGGCGTCCTGAATAAAATACACAAAATAATTAATGCAACAGAAATAAATGGCAATGTTAAGGTATGATTGATAGAAGATTACCTTGTTGCATAAAAACTATTTAAAGTATTCTCATTTACATCCTTCAGCGACTTCTTCAAAGAAAAGTTTTTGAAATACGGTTGAACTACAGGTAGCCCTAAAGGAGTAATCCACCTCACTGGTTCATTCCTGGACTTCACAATGGCAGTGGCACACTCAGTCAACCAATCCTACACAAAATGAATAATAAAACTTCCCAGATAGAAAATAATGTATCCAGTTAAAATACTTGACATATACGTATAAAATTTTACCTGTATATTCCTACTTGAAGTGAACATTTCACCAAGACTACTAAAAACTAACTTTGTTAAGTAAGCAGAAGCTTGAGAAAGCTTGTCCATTGGGTAATTTAGATCTAAAAAGGAAGCAAACAAATACAATTAATACAGTAACTTCTTTGGCCACAATTTAAAAAGGCACAACTAAATTGGTAGTATACCTTTTAACTGGCCACGAATTTGCAGCTGAGCTCCATGCACAGTGACTCCATAAACGGTAGTCATCACAGTTTGCTTGACAACTTTTCGAATCACAAAACCTTCAAGGCTCAGGGCTAAAGCATTGCCATTTGCAGCATCATGTGCTCTCTTTTGCTCAACCTATCAGGAAAATCAACCAAGTCAGTCGTTAAGTATAATTGACAGGTAAAAACATATCACAGTTCACAACAGAAATAAAATTTCTGAAACATACACTGCTGGCCACACACATGTAAACATCAGAGGGCTTGTCTGTGTCAACTAAATTGACAGATTGCGCCCCAAGTGAGTCGCGGCCGAGCGCCGCATAATGTTGCAGGCCATTGCAAGACCCATCTTGGTGAACTGGATAATGACTGATGAAATTTTCTGGGTCGCCACTTGCAATGGCGGCAGCAATTTCCTTGCACGCTGCCAGGGTCTGCCAGGGATACTCTGAATCAATCCACCATCTTTCACCCTAAGAAATAAAAGACTCTGGATTAGCTGTTTCACACAAGTTGAGTCAATGGGCTCTTTGCAAAATGTATTGCTTACAGTGAGAGGCTTCTCCGCAGAATCGAGAATTTTTGGCATGACTTCATCTGCATAAGCCAGTCTTGCAACAAGAGAATCTTTGTTCATATTTCCAATCAAATTTATTGTATGAAGCTGTAAAAATAAGTTTTATGAGAGTTTACAATCGCTGTAGATCTAAATGTCAGTTTTGGTAACTGAAGTTTCACCTTTAACCAGTTCAAGCCATCAGGGCCAAGTTTTTCTCCCTTTGCAAAGACAAGTATGGAGCGAGCCATATCATTACTCATATGTTGTAGGTGAGGACAGACAGGATAAACACGCCCTCGGAAATCCATATTGTGCGGTAACCAGAATATACGGTCACGAAACTAAGAAAAAAAAACAGTAACACAAGGGAAATTAAAAATCCTGCAGAAGTAAGAAATATGGTATTCAGATCTCTGAAAAAATATACCTCATGTGCAATAGACAACTTGTATAGTGTATCACACCAAAGACTGTACGTTGCAGCATTTTCTTGTCTGATATGGGCTCGCTCTTTACTGATTTTCACTCTTTCAGGCAATGGAGAGTCTTTCGGCATTGCTGGCTCAGCAATAGATGCTGATGGTGGAAATGGAATATCTAATTCTTTGCTGCCACCAGTGTTGAAAACTTCAGTAATAACATCGAGAACCTGGAAAAAACGATAGAAATTGCACAATACAGACAAAGGGACAAAACAACAGATAAGAAAAAAAGAGAGGAACATGTTGAGAAAATCTTACAGGTTGATTTACTTTCCATGGAATGGAACCAAGCTGATTGAGAGAATCAAAGCAAGGATACAGTTGTTGAGTAGGAACACTGATAATATTTTCATCTAATACCTCTTCACCAACACGGGATTCAGGTGCCCTGTTAACAGTGGGAGAAAAGTGAAATCCTGGGAAAAACCATTACACATCCCAGTTCAGAGAAAAGACAAATAAACTTAAATTACCTCTGCAGTGGAGGAGAAGTGAGAGGGTAAACACCAATCGTGGTTGATACCCAAGGTCTAGGGGGGCACATCATTGGCAGTTCCTCAGGATCCATGGACAGATAAGGTTGCACTTTTGTGGGGAATATGTGGTAAACAGATGGGTGCATCTTCAGCTGTTTCTGGTAGCCCCTTGTTGTCTTCCGAAACACAACATACAGAGCTGGAACCATGTGAGGTGTACTGTTTGAAGAACCTATGTTTGCGTCAACTTTCACATCTTTGAGTAAAATACTGTACATGAACTTTCCAATTTTGCTGATCATGTCAGGATTCCATTCACGACAAATAGAGTTGATAGCTGAATCATCATAATCCACAGTACGAATAACACTCTCCCAAATCTCTCTAGGATTTGATGGACCTTCAGGAAAGCTATCTGGGTTGGCATACCATTTGCAATAATCAATATATGCTTGCCTTGCTTTGCCCTTAATGCCGTATTTTTCAAGAACTTGCATATCATAAAGTTCTTTCACACGCCTTCCAAGGGCACGCTCTGCAACCGTAAAACCAACAGATTGCTTCTCAGAATCATCAAGCCTCTTATAAACTTCTTGAATGATGATATCAACAAAAGTTTCCACAGGTAAGCACTCTAAATATGCTGGGAGTTGGTATGAGCCTTTATCTACCTTCACAGACCTTAGACCACTTTTGTAACCCTCTGCAATTGTTTCTCTCCACTGATTTTCAATCTGCTTCTGTGCCTCCAATAGCTTTTCACTTTCTGATTGTGATAATTGGCAGGCAATATTTTTAACCCTAAACGTATTTGAACTGCAAGCCTGAAATTGTTCATCAACTAATTCTTCAACACATTCATCTGTGAGAAGTCCAGTTGCTGGTGAAAAGTAGCGAGGAGCCTTTGCTTGATTTACGTCATTCAAGGGTTTCAACACATCAATGGAGTAGTCTTGTTGAGGCACAATGGAAGCAGATGTCTCTGGAGCAACTAAATCAATAGCTTTCATTACCTTTTCAATGAGAAGGTTACGTCCTCTACAATGAGCAACCAGGTCTTCAACACTTATCCCATCATTTATCATGGTTTCATAAAGATTCATGATAATACTTAGATTTGCATCATTTTTTGGAACTCTACTCAGCAAGTCAAAACACTTTACGAATGATTCCTTTGACAGAGGGCTGTTCATATCTCTTGCAAGGGATATAAGATGAATAACACTAACCAATTTGCCTTCTAAAACAGCATTTACAAAAAGAGGTTCTAACATAATGCTCCGGCAAGGAACATCTGAGAAGAGTCGAAGTCCATCCTTGGCATACCGGAGTGCATGTTGCATTTTTCCAGCAGTAACACAAACATCAATATAAGCTGTTCTTCTAAGTATCTTTTTCTTCCTACTAGCGTCGGTTCGCTTAGCCAAAACTTTGGCCTGAATTTCCTGCTTCTTCAATTCTACTTCCATTCTTTTTATTGATTTCTTCGTGGGGGGAGCTTTATTTTCCAATTTCTCTTCATGTTTTTCTTTCAAAGGATCTGCTTTCTTGACAGTACTAATTTCAGGAGAATGGTCAGTGTCTGGATTTTCTGATGTCTGATCGAAGTTTACGGGAAGTGGGGCTACTGAAGAATTGTGATTGAAAATATTAGGATGGCTAAAAGATTCATGTGTTAGAAATTTGTCTCTAATTAGTCCACTAAACATTAACTCAGCGGCAGCATTGGAGAGCTCCGCAGTTTGGCTTGTGCTCGGACTCTCTCTGGAGGCTGACGGGGGAGCAGGAGTGTTCTGTAGAATCGCATCAACCATTTTAAAGGATGCAGATGGGGGTAACATTATAGTAACACCAACATTTGATATTCTTGAGCCTTTGAATGCAGGTGAAGACGGAGAACTGGTGATGAAAGATCTGTGATCAACATCTTTTCCTGTAACCTCCTTGGAATCAAGGATTGTGATTCTCATTTTCCTTTTAGATTTAGGTAGACTCGCAACTGGTGGAAAAAATTAAAGATAAATGGAAAGCAATTTTTAAGAGCATCATAGTTTTACAGTTGGAGAAAACAATGCACGCTCATTACCGTCAGTTCGAGAAGAGTTTGTTAAACCAGGTACCACAAGCCTATACATTTTCTTTCTGGTTACATTTACAATTCGTTCGGGTTTAGCCCAGGTAGAGTGAATCCTTGAATGTCCCCCTCTTCCTGAAAAATTATAAGATGGGTAACTATATTTGTCAAGCAAAAGTGCAGTAATTTACAAAATTAGCTGTTAGAGGATCCTCTCGAGAGGTTATGTGTGACACTATGGAGAAAAGAGTCACCAGTAAAGACACGAAAAGACACATACAACAGTGACTTGCCTTAGCCTGATCAAGCGGCATAACAAGAAAATAAGTGTCATTGATGAGTGACAGGCCCAAAGCCAAAATCAAAGGCATTTCCAAAACACAAACATTACCAGTGAAGGGCGGGCACGATGATGTTCTGTTGCATAACGTACAAGTACGGGTGTACTGTATTTCTCTCGGCCCATTGGGTGAGTTGATGTGGCCGACATTTAGTTTTTTGACTCTTAGAAAACGATGCATGTTTACATATCAACTCGATTTAAGATTGGTGAGAGAACGTCGAACATGTGCGGGTCCCACTGGTTCATCACCACAGGAGTGTTCTGCTTCTGCTTCTGCTAGAAAAGAAAAACAAAACCGAAGGGCGAGAGACGCACACGGGAGTATCAGAGGTATCAGATTGAAAAGACAAGGGAACGCCAAAGTGCGGGAAAGTTCAAACATGTTTTTTCCCATCGTACTTTCATTTCAGCTGTGTAAAAGGTGTAATCGGTATCGTTTATGTTCTGCACACCTGCTATTTTTCTTCCTCCGCTAGCAAGTACTCGAGGTCAGTGGTTCAAATACAGCGAGAGAATATCATTTTTTTTCCCCAGTCCGCGGGCCTTCGCGAACCTTCCGTCGGCTCGGGTTGCTTTGGTATGGTAGCATCCTTGTGATTCCACACAGCACTACAGGGTGGTCCACAGACCCCTTCCTTTATTTTGCCTATACTGTACCGCATGCAGGCGTGCGGACGGGTTGCATACTCGCATGGAGCCATAAGGCGCCGTGGTGAGCGACGGTAGGCAAGCCCGCCCGCACGCCTGCATGCGGTACCGTATAAGCAAAATAAAGGAAGGGGTCTGTGGACCACCCAGTATATTGTACCTCCGTGCTTATCACACTTATGAGTGTGTGAGAGTGAGAATGTCACCCATTGGTGACTCGCATCAGGTGGGAGAAAGGGGAGGAGGAGAATAGTCACTGCGGAATCACCCTTCATGAGGGGCGCCCTTCTCTCATGGTGGTAGGGACGGCGGCGTCGGTCGGCACTGTCCCTACTAGCCAGGCCGCCGCCATGTGTTTGTAAAAGCGGCCCCGAGGGCCTGACTAGGCCTGACCTAGGTGACCCACCCCCGCCGCCCTCCGCCCCGCCGCAACCCGCCGCTGATGGGTCGCGGGTGATTAGGACCTCGGCAGCGCGTAGGGGGCGCCAGGAGAGACGGGGCCCAGGCTCGAGTGACCTAGGCTGACCCCGAGCCGGGGCCACCACCACCGCGGGGGCGCTCGGCTCGGCTGGCTCGGCGCGGCTCCATATGCTGGGCAGGGGCCGCCCAGGGCCGCCCCGCGCCTCCGCCCCACCAGCCCGCCCGCCCTCCGCCGCGGGCCCCGTAACAGCAAGCCCTGCAGGACCAGAGGGTAGCCTCGCTACTCCTCCCCTACAGGACGGCGTAGTGCTATCGACCCGCGCGGGGAGGGGTGCGCGCGGGGGTGGGCGCGTGACGTCACCCTACTCCACCACCACCAGGCGCCACCCGCCCCAGCCACTGCTCTGGCCAGTCGCGACGCGAGGCGCGCCCCGTCCGAGCGCCGTCCGCCGTGTCGACGCGCCCCTCGCAGCCCCCTTGGAGGGCGTCTCGCTCGTGTCGAGGGCCGCGGCCATGGTCTAGCGTGGGCGCCTGCAGCGACCTGGTGAGTAGTAAGCGTGTGTCCCTCGGCCTCCTGCTCATCCCCTCCTCGTCCCGGACGGCGCGGATCCTCTCCCGAGGTGCGCGACGGTCGTCCGCTCGGACCTGACTCCGCGGGGCCCTGCCCTATCGATTCCATTGGTCACGGTGAGGCCCCGCGGGCTCGGCCCGTGGCCCCCGCGGCCCCCGGGTTGCACCCCCCGCGGCCAGCCCCGCGACGAGGACTCCCATCTTGGAAAGGTTTGCAGCAGGCCATATGCGTGCGAAAACAGAGGGCTTCTGGAAGAGGCGCGGGGTGGGTGGGGCGGCGGTGCGGGGGCGCGCGCAGCCCCCCGTGGTTCCCGTGGTGCACCCCC